TGTTACCCAAGCTGGAGTGCAATGGCACAATCTCAGCTCACTGCAACCTTCACCTCCTGGGTTCAGGCAATTCTCCTGCCTCAGCCTCCTGAGTAGCTGGGATTACAGGCACGCGCCACCACGCCCGGCTAAGTTTTTTTATTTTTAGTAGAGACAGGGTTTCACCATGTTGACCAGGATGGTCTCGATCTCTTGACCTCATGCTTCACACGCCTCGGCCTCCCAAAGTGCTGGGATTACAGGTGTGAGCCACCACACCCGGCCCTCCATGAGTAAGTTCTTTAGTGGTGATTTGTGAGATTTTGGTGCCCTCATAACCTGAGCAGTATGCCCTATACCTAATTCGTAGTCTTTTATCCCTCGCTCCCCTTCCATCTTTTTCCCGAAATCCCCAAAGTCCATTGTATCGTTCTTATGCCTTTGCATCCTCATAGCTTAGCTCCCACTTATGAGTGAGAGAGAACATACAATGTTTGGTTTTCCCTTCCTGAGTTATTTCCCTTAGAATAAGTGTCTCCAATTCCATCCAGGTTACTGTGAATGCCATTATTTTGTTCCTTTTCATGGCCGAATAGTATTCCATGGTATATGAATACACCACAATTTTTTTATCCACTCATTGATTAATGGACATTTGAGCTGGTTCCATATTTTTGCAATTACAAATTATGCTGCTATAAACATAAGTGTCCAAGTATCTTTTTTGTATAATGTTTTTGTCATAAGAGCAAAGGGAGCCTTTGAAGGGACTTAGGTAGGGGAGTACCATTCATCTCGTCTGAATTTGAAAACATCTGGATTCTACCTGGAGAATGGATCAGGAGGGTGATTACCAGGGACAGAAAGCCCAGTAAACCCTCTGCCTCCATATTCCAGGTGAGAAGAGATGCTGGCTGTGGAGTTGAGGGGAAGTGGATGGTTCAGGATCTACTAGGAGTAGAACACCCAGGACTTGGTCACCATCTATATTTGAGGGGTGCGGAAATGGGAGATGTAAGGGTGCTGCCTGAGAGCATGCCTTGGACTGATGGTGGAGGGCAGGTCTGGACATTCAAGGAACCAGGGAACCTGGTAGTAGGAACATCTGGGACTGTACACATAGTCCTCAGTGAGAAGCTGCCTTTTTCATAAAGCAGCAATGTGGGTGTCCCCCAAGCTGTCTTCTATAACACCTGTGAGGTGTCACCTGCATGTGTCACCCAAGCATATTGCTTACGTTACTATCACCTGAGCATGTCATCGGGGTAGCGGATGCCTAAACGTGACACCTGTGTCTCTAGCCTATAAACACATCTGAAGCGATCACCGAGGTGGCGGTTACCTGCACGTATCTGCCTGGGTGTCAACCACATTATTATTATCTTATTACCTCACTTGGAAAGCTGCCAGCTACACATGTCTCCTGAGCCTACTTCTTTACAGAGCTGTCACCCGAACCTGCCACCTACACTCCTGCCACCTACAAAAGTCATTTAAACAGGTTGTCTCTATAACCAACATCAATGAGTTTCACCAAGTGCAAATTCTGCTCCTACTGTTTGTAAGCCATGGGGTCTTGGGTAAGTCATGCCATCTCTCTCTCTGAGTCTCCTTTTTTTTTTTTTAAATCTAAAATATGTCACTCCAGGTGACTGTCACTCAGTAATGGGGCCCGGTAAAGAGGCTATTTTTTCAGTCCAGCTGAGTTACAAACAAAGAAAATTGTCCCCGGAGGGGAGACTGGCCTCCTGCTGTTCCTATGTCACCATGCTCTCTCTTCTGAGAGCAGGGAGTGGAGGGGGATGGTGTCTTCTCAACAAAGTCCCCTGATGAAAAGCTTCCCATTCTTTAAATCCTTCCATGACAGTCGGTAGACCAGATGTCAACCTCTGTGTGTTCTATGTAAATGAAGGTGTTTGTTTATGCTAATGAGTGCTGGGTGGTGGGAGGGATGGGCTGGTTCAGCTCAATAAGACGACAGTGATGGAAAAAGAGGCTGGCAGCCCAGGTGTGGGGGGACAGTGAGTCACAGAGGAAAAGGAGCCAGAAGACAAAGATGGAGCAGGGAGCTAAAGCGAGAGAAGAAAAGAGTGAAGCTGAGGTTACATTGCTCTGCCGAAGCAGGAGGGAGAGCAAAGTGGGACGTGTGTCCAGGAGACCGAAGTGAGGATGACGAACTGGACCGAAAGAACTCTGCTCTCAGGGGAGGCAGAGCTGGGTCACACGCCCAAGAGCCTGAGCGCTAACCACCTGCTGCCCTTTCCTGTCCCCAGCGGGGTCCCTCTGATAGGGCTGTTGGGCAGGTTAGTGGGGTAGGGCCGTGGGTATGGATCCCTTCCCGTGGTTTTCTACTGTGACTTGAGAACATCTAAGACTTAAACAGATACACCAGGCCCTCTAAGTTGTAGCCAGAATAGGCTAAAACTCACGTGAAGGCACACACATTTCCCCAGTGCAGCAACGACACAGCCTCTGCAACTCCAGGCCGAGGTTCCACCCCATCCAAGTGTCCAGATTCCGTTTGCCAGGAATTCGCTCTCCCCACAGGGCTTTGCAGGACCCAGGAACAACACAGAATGGCCCCTCTGTCCATTTGGGTGCAGGTTCCTGCTTACAGAAGTCCTGCAGTGACGTCATTGCATGTACTCTTCACCGCTGCCCCAGGAAGTAGCACCTCCACTGCTTAGGAAAGAAAACGGAGTCTCCAAGAGAAATGGACAGACTTATCCAAAGTCCCACGATTCACAAACAGGAGGAGCAGAATTTGAACCTGGTTCTCCCTGACTCCATATCAAGGCTCTTTTCAGTATAGATGGGAGGAAAGAGCCTTCCTGCTTGTGTTTTCCATGGGGAGAGAGAACAACATACAAACTCATTTTCACAGTCTGACCCTGTAGGTGCTATAGAAAGATCTGGAACAGGAGCCGTCCAAATAGACTGTGGGCCAAATCTATCCCATCACATATTTTTTCACAACCTGTGAACTGAGCATGATTTTTCTATTTTGAAATGTTTGGTGGAAAAAACCAGAAGAAGGATATTGTGTGGCACATCAACATTATATGAAATTCAAATTTAAATGATCATAAGTGAAGTTTCACTGGAGCACAGTTGCGCTATTTTGGTTACGCACCGTCTAGAGCTGCTTTTGTGCTGCAAGGGGAGGGTTGAGTATTCGCAACAGAGAATGTGAAGGGCAACAAAGACTAAAATACTTACTCTCTGGACTTTTAGAAGCAAAACCTGAGAGTAGGTTTGAGGGGGTCTCTCCTACCCTCAGGGGTCCCCTCCTGTGAGCCACAGTCCTGATCACCTCAGGGGTGGAAGTGGCCGTTCCCCAATTCGAGCTCAGATAAACTCACATTTTTCCACGTGATTGTGGAACCCAGATCAGCTTTCCTACCTCCTTGCCCACTGGGATGGGGGCTCCTTGGGGAGCTGTATTTTATTGTTTCTCTTCCATGATCTCAGGACTGGGCACGAAGTGGCAGCATGGTGGTGTGGACAGAGAAATTCAAATTTCCTTACTGGTTCTTACTAGCCATACAGGGTTGGGGGCAATCGAGGTCCCCCCCGCCAAGCCTCAGTTTCCTTGTTTATGAAATGGGAATATGGACCACCACATGGAGGCCGTCATGAGGAAAGTGGGAGATGACGCCTCCAGTGACAGTTTTGAGCCCTTGCTGCATGCAGTGACACCCTAAGTGCCCACACCTCTTCACCCACGTCATCCTCACAGCTCCCTGGAAGTGGGCACCATCCCAGGCTCATGGAAGCTGACAGGCTAAATGACTGCTCCAGGACCCATCGAGCACAAATTGGAGTCTGGCTGAACACAGTCCACACCTTCAGTGTCTGAGACGCCGAGCACAGGGCCTGCATACAGTCAGCGTTCCATAAATGCTCCCCCCTCCCAGCCCAGCACACAGGCAGGTGTTTGTTAGTGGAGGCTGCACCAGTGGGCATCGGGATGAGTTTCCTTGAGTGCTGCCTCACCCAGTCCCACAAGGACGGGCCCTCACCTTGTCTTCTGCCTCCCCCAGGCTGCCCGAGGTCCGGATTTCAGACAACGGTCCCTATGAGTGCCACGTGGGCATCTATGACCGTGCCACCAGGGAGAAGGTGGTCCTGGCATCAGGCAACATCTTCCTCAACGTCATGGGTGAGTGCAGGGCCACTGGCCCATGGAATCTCAGTGAGGAGGATGAGTGTGTGTGTGTGTGTGAGTGTGTGTGTGTTTGCACACAGGCACACATGTGTGCACAGAGCGGCCATCCTGGGGGCCACCTACCAGAAGTTCTGTTGTGCTGGTGTCTTCCCTTTCCTGCCTTTGTCCTGGAGGGGCAACCTGCCCAGGCTGAGCCAAGGTGTGACCCTCGAAACCTTGACCCCCACAGACCTCCCCTCAGGAGGTCCCCCTCTCCCAGCACAGGTACCCCAACAGAACTCTCCCTAAGGAGTCCAAAATGGCACCTCAGCTGAGACACACACCTGCTGTGAAGGGAACCATTCAGCTCCTCAGACAAAAGTCCCTCCCTGTACCTCCTGAGGCCTTAGTGGAGATGGCGTAGGATCTGGAGATGAATTAGAAGGTGCTCAGGGCTGGAATCCAGACCTCCTGAGTTCTCACCCTCTCCCCATGCCTCCATTTATGCACCTGTAAAGTGGAGGTAATAATGCTGGTGTCTACCTCTACCTGGCTGGGTCCTTAGATAAGTCTATCCCCACCCCAGACTCAGTTTCCCCATTGGTAAAATAAGGATGCTGCTCTGTGCATTCTCAGAAGCCCCCAGCAGCTCTAATGTTCTCGTCAGATACACACCTTTGGGTTCCAGCTCCATTGCAAGGATGCTGAGGACTTGGCCTTGTCTCTGGACCCTGTGTTCTCCGGTTTTCTTACCGAATAATATTTATCAGGGAAACAAAGCTTGCGGTACACAGGCAATCAATGAAAGCATAAAGGCCCCACTGAAAGCTGCTGCTTCTGGGGAAATTGAAAACCTCCAAAGGCCAGGCGTCCAGAGGGACATTGATTTCTGCAGTGCAGCCCGTGGTGGTTCTGGCTTCCTGATGGAGCTACGATGCAGGAGGCGGTATTGCCAGGAAAAGCCCCTCTCTCACAGTTACTCATGTACCATTCAGCCCCTCTGATAGAGGAACTAGGGGCATTCTCAGTGACTGGCCTTGGGTTGACCACACCAGGGAACCTAGAAGGGACAGAACTCGGTTTGCACCATCAAGGAACTCCAAGTCTGATGAGAGACATGTATTTAATCATGTGTGCGTCACAATGTACTGAGCACCTATGAGGTGGCAGAGAATAGACAGAAACTTTTCGTATGGCAAATGCTTATCCATAGAGATTTTGCAGGAGACAAGCATAAAACACATGCATAGATGAATCATTAAGAGCATGCTACATGCAGGGGAGGGAATAAAGCAGGGCAAAGGGATAAAGAGTGACTGCAGGTGGGTGGCAGCTAGTGTAAGGGGGGACTCAGGGAAGGCCCCTCTGCAGCTATTGGGCTGAGTGCTTTACATGTGGTATGCTGTTTAGTCCTCACAAGCAACCCAGGGGTACATGCTAGCATTTTTAACTCCATTTCGCAGATGCAGAAACGGATCACAGAGAAAGCAGGCAATTTGCCTAAAGTCACACAGTCAGGATCATAAAATCATCCTATGATATCAGGCAGCTCAGTGTCGGGACGGGGAATCAGGCATCTTGACTCCAGGGCCAGCTTTGTCATGGTGCTGGAGGCAGTGAAGATGCTGCTTAAGGTCTCACTCTAAGGTGCCTTCAAGCAAGGACAGAGTCCTCAAAAGCCACCCCTCCATGAGGTCCACACTTCCCATTACTTCATCAAAGGACCCTGAGCTGGTTAGTCTCCCTCTGCGACCTGAATTTCCCCATGAACTCTATTAGTCCGTTTTCATGCTGCTGATAAAGACATACCCAGGACTGGGAAATTTACAAAAGAAAGAGGTTTAATGGACTCACAGTTCCACGTGGCTGGGGAGGCCTCACAATCTGGTGGAAGGTGAAAGGCACATCTCACATGGTGGCAGGCAAGAGAAGACATCGTGTGCAGGGAGACCCTCCTTAATAAAACCATCAGATATTGTGAGGCTTATCACAAGAAATAGCACAAGAAAGACCCACCCCCATGATTCAATTATCTCCCACTGGGTCCCTCCCACAACACACGGGAATTGTGGGAGCTACAGTTCAAGATGAGATTTGGGTTGGGACATAGCCAAACCATATCACATAGCATCAGAGGGTTGACCAGATAATCCTACACTCCCTCCTAGCTCTGACACTTGTGAGTCTCTTACTCCATCCTCTAGGTGAGGAAACTGAGGCACAGAGAGATCTTGTAGGATTGACTCAGGTTGCACCACTGGCCTGATGGTCCCTGCTGAGCAAGAAAGTGTGTTCCTGGCAGGTTCAGTGACTGAGACTTCTCCTCTCCTTCTATGTCACTGTCTGGAGATCAGGGGACACTCCCTGTGGTAGGCAGCAGACACCAGAGACCAGAGCACTGGGGAGGAGGGAGCAGCTGTAGTTTCACTTGCTGAGTGGTCTGGTAGGGCTCCTTGGCCTCTGAGGGTGGCTGATCTTCCGGGAGGGGCCGGGCAGGGGCAAGGCCAGTGATGCAACCCTGACCTTCCACCCTGGCACTTTCAGATTCAGGGTAAGGGTGGCCCCTGGAAATTCAGGGCTTCCCTGGCAGGCTTCTCCCTGGCATCGCACCCACCAGTCACAGTCCATTCTCTGCTGTCCACTGCTCAGAGGTCACTGTGCTTGCTGTGGGTCTTCCCAGCCCATTGTCCCCCAGTGGAGCAGATCAGCCTTTGCTCATGATGCCCACGGGACCTGATATGGCAGCTGACGCATCTCCCGCCCCTCCTTGGACATGTACATGTGCCTGACAGTGTGCGAACTTCTGTCAGGCACGTGTTGTCTTTTAGAATCCCCATGACAGCCCTGTGAACTGGGGGACGTTATGATCCCCGTTATATGAGGGACGGAGGCTAGTGGGGAGAAGTGACTTGTTGGGTTCTAACAGCCCTCTAAGTCCAAGTCTCATGATCTAAACCAGCACTTCTCAAACATGAGCCTGCAGCAGAACTGCCTAGAGAGCTTGCTAAACACAGATGCCTGGGCCCCGCCCACAGCTTCTGACTCAGCCGGGTGAGGTGGGGCCTGAGAATAAGCATTTCTCACAAGTTCCCAGGAGATGCTGCTGCTGTTGGCTCAGGGGCTAGACTTTGAGGACCACTGATGTAAATCTCTAAGTATTTCCCCAAATACCAGTTCTGTGTGTATCTGTATACTGATGGCTATATCGATGCTATACATAGCTACAACTGTTCCTATACTCTTCCCCCATACAAATGTACTTTTCCTCCTCCCTCCCGCTTCTCACCTCACCCCACTCACAGGAGATCCCTGCCCCCCATTTCTTAGCATTCAAGTTAAGGACATACCGGTTTAGGTCCCAATCTCAGATTTGCTCTGTGACCTTAGGCCCATTTTCCTCTGTGGGCCTCAATTTCCCCATCTGTGAAATAGGGATAAGGATACTTTCCTCCTAGGGTGGTCGTGAGGCTTAAAATAGATGAAGTTTGCAAAACACCTAGCCCGTCAACAATATCACCAAGGAAGAGCTCAGTTGCTCGGACGCTGTTGTGTTTATTACCACTATCTGGTTTCCCCACTCCTGAGCACAGCTGTGGCTACCTCCCTCTTGCCGCTGGTGTTGGCCCCAGCACAGAGAAGTCCGCCATTCACAGCTCCAAGGAACCCTGCACCAGCCTGAGGAAAGACTGTTCTGGGAACACAGCTTCATGCACCGCGGCTGCCTGGAGGCCAGAGTATCTCCGGGAGGGGCCGGGACCGCCGCCTCTGCTTACTCACCTTCCCTGGGCTTCTTCCCAAAGGTCTGCGTGTCCTGGCACCATGCACCTACGGAGGGAGCCAGGATCTATCCCAACTGTGATAATGACAGCAACGCCTCACACTTGCCCTATTTGGGCAATTTCAAAGGGTTTTCACATTGAACACATCACCCAGTCCTCACTGCAGAGGAGTGTGGGGATTACTATGATCCCTAACTCACAGATGAAGAGACTGAGGCCCAGGGAAGGGAGGGAATTTGCTTCAGTCCTTATAGGGTGGGGGTTATCTCTATGCCAGAGCTGCATGGCTTCTGTAGCTCTCCAAGGTCCTGAATGGTGACGGGAGGGCTGGGAGAGGCGGCATAGCTGAGCGTTTCTCATACAGCACCTCCTGTAACCCATCAACCACGTGGGACTGGGAGGCAGCACCACGCTGAGCCTGTTGCACAGACCTGGCTCGGAGGAGCACGTGACTTGGCCGAGACTGGAGGGTTAAATGAGATAATGTGTAGAACAGGACACTCTGGGCCTGAGGTGTGGCACATTCTGGATGATCAATAAACAGTATCTCTTATGACAAAGAGTAATTGGGTCAGTTACAAACCAGGCACCATGAGACTAACCTCTGTGAACTTCTCCTTCAAATATGTTTCAAGGAAGGTTTTTCAAAAAAAAATTTTTTTTTTGAGATGGAGTCTTGCTCTGTCACCCAGGCTGGAGTGCAGTGGCATGATCTCCGCTCACTGCAACCTCCGCCTCCCAGCTTCAAGTGATTCTCCCGCCTCAGCCTCCCGAGTAGCTGGGCTTACAGGGCATGTGCCACCACATCCAGCTAATTTTTGTATTTTTAGTAGAGAGGGGATTTCACCATGTTGGTCAGGCTGGTCTCGAACTCCTAACCTCGGGATTCGCCCACCTTGGCTTCCCAAAGTGCTGGGATTACAGGTGTGAGTCACCATGCCCAGCAGTTTTCAAAAATTAAAACCGACTCATTGCTTTGGTTTGTCTGTGGCATTGCATTCTCACACAAGGTCACCCCCTCCAAGCGAGTGGAGGTCACTGAACACTGGGGTCTCTTTTGTGCCACATGGGACCCTAAGGGCTGCTACAGCTAAGCTGGTGCAAGACAGCCCCTCCCCAATTTGGAGGTCAATGGGAAGCTCCCCGAACAGTGGGGAGGAGAGCCGAGGAGCAGGGGAGGGCCCAGGACCCACCTGCCTCAAAGCACAGAGCAGTTCTACCAGAGAGCCCAGCACC